GAAAGCCACGGGGAGGGTGTGGGGTTCTGTCATAGAATAGTATAGTCAAGTCCCATGTGGTAGTATGTACTCGTATGTATGTATGTATGTATGTATGTATGTATGTATGTGTGTCTGTTCCATTGTTATCTAAAGAACCACTTCAGGGATTTTGATGATTTCCATAATAATATATCAGTATCACTTAATTTTTTGTGTTAATTTACTTTTGTGTTAATTTACTTTTCAATAGTTCTCTCGCTAAATTTGCTAAAAAGACATGCTTGTGAAAAAGACATGTTTTACAGTATGTGCCCTAGAATAATACATAGACCTTGTTAGATTTTGGTTTAAATCTATGTGTAATAATTGCTCAATTTGCATAATAATTTTCTTTCCACTGTATATCTCAAAAAACAATTTATAAGTACCTAGGACGTTTCTAACGAGCTGATTAGTTTTGAATTGAAATTCAAGCATACTAATTGGCTAATTTTTATATTGTTATAGAGAAAAACACTCAGATAAAAACAATGACCACTGACGTTTGTTTATTTACACACATTGTATTTTAGCCATTGATTTCAGAAATCATGGTGAATTGGTTCAATTATTTTTTCATGATCCATGATTGTTGTTTTGCTCTGTATGGCTGATAGTAAGTAAGGTGTCTTAATTGTCATTAACAAAATCCAGTTAAACATCAGTAAAATATTACCTATGGTACGTTTTTACCTGAAATCAAAGATGAATTTGATGTGAACTCTCTTTATCACGATTAGATAAAAGCATTATCACATGTATTACGAAGACCGATAGAAATCATACAAGCGGATGCTCCAGTGTTAACTATAGGGGAGGAATTCAGTAATGCAACAACGCAATCATTACTTTTATCGTAAGTATGTGTCTATATATTTGGAATGAAATATATGGTATGTCTGATGAATGTTGTATTATTTCATTTCATTTGCCTGTGCAATGCCCACCCTCACGTCCCATTTTAGATCTGTGTCCCACTGAAAAGGGTATTTATTGATTTTTTAGCTGAACATGATTACTCATATCCAAGTAAATGTGGGATATTTCTCGTGTTGTAGCCACGCCCACCTATCGTGAAACGGTCAACTGTTTCCAGATTTCCGACTCTCGCCGAAAGTGCGCCACCAAATGACAAAATGTTAGAGGAAGTCATACCCCTGAGCCGTAATAACAGGTCGTTCATTATACTTTTAAACGATATACATTTTTTGGTCGGCGTTTTTTCTTTTTTTTTGTCTATTTTTTTTTTTTTTTTTTTTTTGAGAGAGTATTTAGATGTTGTGTTGTGGGCAGTTGCAGTGAAACGTATAGCCATAGTGTATGTATTCACATGTTTCTAATCGATTCGAAGGTGCGACATCACTTAACCTTAGATTCATTCAACTGTCCTCGTCCATAAAAAAAACGACTAGGTTTAAAGAGAAACGCCGACAACGTAAACCTGGCGTAACACTTTTGAAAGAAATAGATTCCAGCCCATGATCACCGAGGCGGATTTCAGAAGAGAGAGAGACGTCCGGCAAGTGTTTCAAATCAGTTGACTTTTTTTGCGATCCTGATTATCGTTTTATAGAGACCATTTAGTCCCTGTTAAGTAAAAGGTAGCAATGATTTTGACAGTGACACAAAAACGAAGCGTCGGACAAACAGGAAATTACACAGCCCTTACACAC